GTATGTGCATGGTCTCCAAGGTTACCATGGCTGTCCGTCGTGTGCCACAGCCAGCTTACCATGTGTCTCATGCCATTGGAATTGCCTTGCCAAGCACCACTTGGTTGCGCATCAGGTGCTCCCAGTCGTCCTGCTCGGAGCCCTTGCGCTTGCCCGCATCCAAGAAGCAAGACAAAGCAGACACTGCACCGCTGCGCACACCACTGGGGTAGTTGATTTTCCCAGGCCACTACCTGCTTCGTTGGCGGCACGCACTCAACTCCGACCGCCCTGCGCGGAGGCCCGTGCAAAACGAACCCAGCCAAACCGGGCCCAGTTGTCTGGAATCTTGAGAGGCAGCCCGACTGCTCGCGGTGCCGTGCCGGAGTCCCTGGAGCTTAGCTCCTCGGTCACCACCGCACTGGAGGCCGGGGGCGTCATTACTCGTTTCGGGTTGTCAGTCAGCTTCCATGTCCAAAGCTGTGTAATCTCAATGAGTCTCACTCATCTCCCCGCATTGTGCTGACGAGGTCTCCACTCCGGGCTGGTGGGCGAACATCGTGACGAGCTAAGTTGTGGGAGTTGTGAATGCAAAGGTGATGACCTGCGATTATTTGAAGCTGATGGCACCCAAGCAGCGCCATGCGGGCAATTGCATCAGGTGCTCTTGGTGATTCCTTGCGCCATTTTCATCATCATCTACCTCCAGTCCGAGAGGCTTGGACACTTGCAACATGCTGACCTTCGGTTGAAGCATGCTGAACCTCACACTTTGCAGGACCAAGTTTGAGGCTGCATCGAAGTGAGGGAAGAAATGGCTGCATGTTTACTTAGCGGACGGACACTAAAGACGCTCAAGCCGCTACGAAAAATGATGCCCGTCTTCAGTCCTTGAGCGTTAGTCAGTCAGTCACACGCATGTTGAGCAAGATGCCATACAATGAGTTATGTCATTTTTGGCACGTGCTTTCGGGTGCAATGGAGGCTGATAGGACTGATAGGCTATGGAAGTGGAGGTGGTTACATTTGTTACAAAACTGGATTTCCCCACTATGCCTCACACAAGAAGTACCTAACAGTTCAAGTTTGCCGTGCGCTTCATGAGTGCTAGTAGAGACTGGAGGACAGCCTGCCTTTGGAGGATGTGGAAGGGTTTGATATCAGAGTGCAAGCGTGCAAAGAGAGATGTGGCACGGCTGACAGCATTCATTTTGCGGCATGTGGCAGCCGTTTTTATTCTTGCACCTGCTTCCCCGGCCATCGCCAGACTCGTCGCAGCCGCGCAGCTGCACCTA